GAAATACTTCAGAAAGGTCTAAAAACAATACAGTGAGCACTCACGTATCCACTGCCCAGCTTATTAAATAAATATAACGAATACATTGATCACAGCCCCCCCCAGAGCAGAGGTAACCGCCGTCTTGAACTGGGCGTCTCTCATTCCCATGCGTTTCCTGATTCTTTGACTCTCTAGGTCTATACCCATAGCCACTGGAGAGTCTTTGCATACTTCCAAATCGTATATAAATGCTATGATTCTGTGTGCATTTTCTGCAATTTGATTTTTTTCACTCAACTCTATGTTTGAATTGGATTCATTCAAACTGAAATGGGCAGCTCAGGTTCATTCACTTTCGTGGATGTAGCATATTCTGCAAGAAGAGACAATTAGTTACCCATTGTTCTAAAGATGTGCATTTAGGTGGTTCCCACCCCATATTTTAATTTTTGCTATTTCAATAATGCAACCATAAGACATTCTTGAATCTGCCATCTTTTGTGGGTATGTGAGAGAATTTCTCCAGAGAATATACCTGGGACGGGAAATGCTGAAATGTGGGGCACGCATATCTTCAACCCTAAGAGAGAGCGTCCATCTGTGTCTCCAATGTTCTTCCATTGTTTTTGCAGCTGCACAGTGTTCCATTAAGATCATGTACACTCATTTATTTATCCGTTTCCTGCTGCACTTGCTGGTTATTACTTGGTGGGGGTTGGGGGTGTTAAAACAATATTAGATATACAATCTTTCATGTGGAGATGGTTATGCTAGCAGAGCACTCGAGAGCTCGGAAGGCCCTCTGGGGTGTTTTACTCATTTGATCCACGGAGAGAGGCAGGTCGGTTATTACCATTGCTCCTTTTTACCTTCAGTGAAGATCATGAAACAACCCGAGGGATTGGGGCTCTCAGGTCCTGTCTGGGGAGCAGCAGAGCCGGGTCTCTGGCTCAAGGCTTGCTCCAGTCCACTTTTCTGCCTCCTTTCGCAGTTACTGAGTTGGCGCAGTTGAGGTGGGTAACTGGTCTGCAGAGCCTGGGAAGCGATGTCACAGAGACGGTCCCAACAAAGAACAGGAGGAAACGTCTTTTTTGTTGCACCTGTGAAAATGCAGAGTATCAGCTCACAAGCTGCTCCTGGACCGCATTGTCCTGGAAAAGGGGGAAACAGATGGCCATTTAATAAGAACCTGATAGCATTGTTTGGGGTTGGGCAGGGGTATCCTCTGGGGGGCTAAGAGAGAAGCTTTCAGCTGAGAGCCACAGCAGCATGGAGGAGGCGCTTGTGGTGGCCACTTCCTCCCTCCTGCTCTGCCCGAGAGGAGTCCAGAGAGGATGGGGGTGCATAGGCTTCCACTGTTTGCCTGCTCCTCTTTCTGCCAGAACTCCCCTGAGAAGCCAGGAATACAGACCCCCCCCCCCC